TTTTTTTTTAGAGAGGAGAGGGGAAGAAAAGAAAAGAGAAACCTCCATGTGGATTGGGGTTCCTCCCTGCCCCCCCCCTACGGGCATGTGCCCTGACCCAGTATTTCCCCCCACCCCCTTTTCAGTGCCCGAGGGGGACGCCCCAACCAAATTGAGCCACACCGGTCCGGGCAGAAAGGGGGGTTTTTAAAAGGGGACTACGCTTTTTGAATTTCATAGGCCAAACCAACAAACAAACAAGTGAACAGGAAAGGCATATGGGTCTTCAGCCTTTTTGAATGGCACCACACACAGTAAAGCATAAAGTGGGAACTAGCAAAATAAAGTAGTAATGCATGTCAAACACAAAAAATTTTAAAAAAAAGAACGGAACTGAAACAATTCCAGCAACGAAGAATTAGATGGATCCGTGTTGATAACAGGAGATCACGCCTTTTACCTTGCAGCCCGGGCTCATATCTAGGTCAGGGACTAGAAGGCTCAAGGGACTGCAATCATAGCATAGGGACAAGTCCCAGACTGGCGGTGGGGGATGCACTAGCTGTGACCTAATAGAAATGAGAGACGCAACAGGCCTGTGAAGGCCAGCCAGAGCGCCACTCCCCTCCCCCAGGATGTCCCAGCAGCTGCCGCTGCAGGTGGGGGCACCTGTGGGGGGGGTGCCAGGGAGACCTGCTTCTGCCTGCAACAGAAGCGACCAAAGGGCACAAGCTCTCAAGGTCCGAGATGCAGGAATCCAGGTGGAAGGTAGATACCTGGTTTCCACAGAACCCCCCCAATTATGTCAAAACTCGCAGCCGGAGGCACGTGGCCCTACGCAGCTTTCAGCCAGCCAGAGATGGAATGCCACGACTGTCCTCTGCTCTGCCGCCCTAGCCTCAAGCCCACTGCTCCCAAAGGCCTTCTTACCAGCCAAAGTGATCCCAAGAAGACTGGCTGAAACTCAGCAGCACCCCGCAGCCGAACACGAAGCCCAGGAAGCAGGCTCGGACGGCGATCTGAAAGAGACCGGAGGAGCCCTCACCCGGCTGTTCCGGGGCACACACCCTGCTCCCTGGGACCCGCAGGCCACCGGCTCGCACC